TCCTTCATTTCTGGGTAATCTTCATCTGTTTATATGAAACCAGTATACATCATAGGGCTGTTCACATAAAAGAACTTGGATAGTTTTGAAAAATGAATATGAAATGCATGGCACCAAAAAGTATGCAGCATTTTTAAGAATGCATTGAAATAATATTTTCCCAAATGTCCACTCTATCAAATTCTTTCAATATTACTGCTCCCAAAAGTAATAAAAAGCAAAGAAGACCAAACAATGGGATAGTCTTGCTGTGTACAGTATTTCAATAGCCTCCCACAAAGTACTTCTTGCTTGTACAAATGAGGCCACTTCTTTACAATAACTAGATATTTTTCTACAATATAAGATTACATTTATAACATGTGGTCCTTGTTATCAAATATCCTGTTAATCATGGTTACATAGTAAGTACAAATAAACCTTATTATGCACAGTAAAGAATAACACATATCCCTCTTTTAAGGAAATTATTTTGTTTGAAGAGCCTGGGAAAAGTTTTTTTGTGTATTTTATGTGTGCACAAAGTGGTGGCACAGCTTTAGTATATATGTAAAGTATGCTTTTTCAAAGTCTTGTTATCCACAGATTCACCATTTAAGGCAAGATGCTGCCTTAAAATAATAATCTCTATATTACTAAATTTCTTGTCTCTGTTTGTAATCTTCAATTGGGCAAAATGGTACATCATTGGGCAACAATTTTTGAACCAATATACCTCAAATGGGCTAATTTACAGCATGCGTCCAAAATCCTGGATTCATTCATCCCAAGAGATTGAAATTTGGCAATCATGGGTATATCCAGGGCTTTTTTTTGTCACAGAACACCCAGAACGGAGTTCTGGCATCTTTTTTGGATGGAACCTTGTAGGGTAGGCAAGGTGGGTTGTATGACGTGTGTGAGTTCTGGCACTTTTTTTTTTTTTTTTACAAAAAAAGCACTGAGTATATCTACACCTTTCCTGCCTCTTTCTGGTCCCTGCTTCCAATCAACGGTAGTGAGGGAGGGGAAATAGTGCCAGCCCATATTACGAAAAGAACGTGTCCTATCAGCTTCCCACAAGCCAATGAGGAAGTCAGCAGGAACTATGAACTCTTCTGAGGTGATGACAGTACCATATACCTCAGGGATTGAAATTTCACAGTTTCGACCAAGACACATCACTCCTGTGGGACTGAAATTTTACAAACTTATTTCAAATGTTCCCTGCCAGCTTCCCACAAAGAAAATCAGCAAAAAGTCATAAGTCACTCCCACTCCCACACTTTTTTGCCTGCTCCCATGATATTTCTGTTTCTTGTTTAGGTAAAGAAATATCTTTGAAATGATGGTCTATGAATCAGATAGTACAACAGTATTATTAATAGTAGAATATAATATAAAGTATAGAACTTTGGAGAACATTTAGTTTGATCTCTGCCCAGAACAGGAATTTACACTACATTATCCAATTATAACCAAAATCTGCTGCTTTATAATTTAAACCTAAAAAGCAACTCTAATTTTACCCCATCCTCTACATGACAGACCTTTTGATACTTCAAGACAGCTTTCATGCCTCCCTGCCGTCTTCTTTTTCTGGACTGAACCTTCCATGCTCCTTGTCATCTTGGTTACACTTTTCTGACATTTTTCAATTTGCCAATGTTTTTCTTAAAATACAGTGCCCAAAACTAAATGCAGCATTTTAGGGATAGTCTGACTAATACAAAATAGAGAGAGACAATGTTTTATCTTGCTCTTGCCACTATATCTGTTAATGCAAACTCGTATTGCAACTGCTTTTCTGCAACGGCGCATTCTTAATTGACATTCACCTCATGATACACCAAACCAGCCAGATTACTTTTTGCATATAGTTTGCCTAGTATGTCCCCTACCCTGATTTTACACCCATGCCTTTGATTTTCCCTACTGAAAAGTAGGGCTTACCAATTGTCTCTATTGATATTCATCTTGTTGGTTTCTGTTCATTATTCCAACATGTCAAACCTTTATTAATCTTGTTACTGTCTTCTACGTGTTTGCTTCCCCCTATCTTTTTGTCATATGCAAATCTGATAATCCTATTTTCTTACTCCTTCTTCAGTTCATTTATAAGTAGGCTGAACAGCAGATACTTTTCTTGCACTTATCAGTAGCAATTCTTTGGTGGTCTTTCCTACTTTTCCTATAGAGACTGGCAATTAACCTGAGACTTCCTCCAAACAAAGCACCTGTTCTACTACTGGCCTACTCATTCAGTCATCAATACTGCTAGAATGAGTTGCTTCAATTAAAATAATAAACATAGTGGATATGATTCTTTGCGAGCCAGTTTGATGTAATGGTTAAGGCATTAGGCTAAAAACCAGGAGGCCATGAGTTCCAGCCCTTCCTTAGGTACAAAGCCAGATGGGTGACTTGGACCAGTCACTGTCTCTCAGCCTTAGGAAGGAGGCAATGGCAAACCACTTCCAAAATATCTTGCCAAGAAAACTGCAAGAGATTCCAACAGGCAACCTCTGAGAATCAGACACAATTGGACGGGATAGGGGGGGATTCTTTATACAACTGGTTAAAAAACACAACCTTATTTCACTGTCAGTTGTGATACTCTCCAAACATTAACACCAAAAATCAGTAACTCTGCATAAGTATGCCACACCAGTTTAGCACAATTTCATAGAAAAGAAATGAGGGAAAGAAGAAAATTATGCAAATATGCAAAATGTCATTCTCATTTTTTGGGGGACTCTAGAAACATACAACCTGTTGCTTACTGAAAAATACGTGAAGCAGAAACGCACCATTAATTTTCACCAGTCCACTATTTCTTTTACAAAATACCCAGAGAGAGTTATTGAGATTTTCCAACTTGCATCTAATAAATTATTCAGAAGCTTGGTCTCACTCTGTAAAGAAAGCCATATGGGAGACACACAAAATTGTGGTCATATAAAACAGGCCAACATCTGACCTCAGCTATGCTCATATATAACTCTGACAAGGGAAAACATTGTCTTGAGTATATTTAATATGCAAGGTAAACACTGACCAGATTTGGCAGATAAGCAGATAGAAACCCTGCTGCCTTAAGCAAGTTTACTAATCAAATCAGTAAAAAACCAACATTTCAAACACAGTATTCTTTCTGGTTATACATCCAGTAAGCTTGAAACAGGGGAGTACAGCAGATCAATAAATTAACATAGTAAGAATCTAATTAGGAGACAACTGTTGCTGTTCAGTGCTTTCAATGCATTAGAATAGTGATCCATATTCACAGTGTTGTCTAAAGTAGAGAAACTTCTATGTACTTTTGAAAACTAATCCTACTGCTGAATACATGGGAATAGCAGGAGAAGAATAGTTCCAGCTGCATAAGTACATAGATCATGCAGATTACTGTAGCAGACAGTTGTAGTGTTAACAAGATTAACAACTTAAAACAAAGCAATGCACTTGCCTTGTCAAAAGACAAGAAAAAAAAATCACAATTCAGCCAGAAAAGCTTAGATTAAAATCAAATTAGCTCTGAAAGCAGATAAAGAAATGATTTCAAATTGATTTTAAAAGACCATTAAAAGCTTAGCTGCAAAGTTTGCATCAGCTTATTCAGATGAAATAGTAATAGTACTTATTTGGAAAGCCTTCAAAAAAACCATTTCTTCTCCAGGCCACTTATCCTGGCATGCTGGTGCTCCTGTTTTCACCAAGGAGCTGAGTAGAAAGTGCAAACATGCAAGCTTGGCTGATATACTGAGCATATTTAATTAGAAGACAAGATTTTGAAGGTGCCACGCGTTCCTTTATTGGTTTTAACTTGAGATTTTAAATATCTTTCTGATCTACCAGAAATGCAATTTAAATATGGAAGCCTAAATAAGGTCCAATCTCACTTTGCACTGGAATAATTGTCCAAGATAATACTGTGGGAGAATTATGAAAGCAAAATGAATAAAAGAACAAAAGATCAATCTAGTATGGGAGTAAACCTCAAAGAACTCCACGTGATTTCTAACCCCACAAGAAAGAAAAAATAAGAATAAAATATTTTTTCCATTTAGTATAAAAAAAAACCATCCATTTCCTCCTTATCTAAACACGAAACAGAATCATCTTATTTTACCCTGGTGTCAATGAAAGAAATCTGCACCAGATACATTAGCAACCAGATCTTGCTTTGTACATTCTAAAGGCAGAAGATCAGATTGCCACCTACAGGTATATTTAGTTTCTCTCTCCCCACGTCCTTTATAAAATTTTCTTGTGAAAGTACATAAACAATGTAAAGAGCTGGGACATAATAGAAAATGTTTTTAGATGAGTCTTGCAGTCCATTTATACTACAATGTCATTTAAGAACAATAGAACACAAATCATCTTTTCTCATAAATATAGCTGACATAGGACTTTTTCCCACATAAGCATGTATATCAGTTGAGTCACAAATGAATGTATAGGCTGCTTTCACAGAAAACATTATGACTTGTCAGTTGGGTTGATGACATATGCTGTTTCTTGCTGTTGTTGGCTGTACTTTTTGTTTAACTCATCTGAGTAATCACTTCATATTATAGCAACTAAACAATGAACGGGAATATGTACTCATCTAGGCTACAGATTTTTAAATAATCAAGCACTGATATCAGACCAATAAATTTATGTTAGAGCCCTGTATGTTTTTGCTCCAAGTCTCATAATAGCAAAAGCAATAGAAAATAATAATAATAATAAAAGCCAAGAGGGTTTACAGCTTTGGCCTAAACTTAATTTGCCTAAACCACATCCTACAAAATAGGCTTTGCTTTTGATTAAACTTGCATAAGATCAAATTGCAGAATTAACAATAGACTAGGTTGATATATTTTCTTTGTAGTCTTGATTATAACTTTTTCATTCTGAATACAGAACCAGACCTATTAAAGCTATAAAACCATAGAAAAATGCATTACTTCATTTAAAATGCTCAATTTTGGCCATTCTACAGTTCTGTAGAAGAAACATAAGCCATTTACCTGATACAATTGGTGCTAGCCTGAATATGTCCGTTAACCTGCTGTTCACTGGTTCGTAAGGTGATTCTTCAAGCAAATCATTTCCTAAAAACAATTTAAAATGTTTTTTTTTTCTTTCATGCTTTTTAAAACATTTTCTGAAACTTCAACACTCCTAGAATCTCCAGGCTATTCCCAACAACAAAACGACAATGCAATCAATTACTACTACTTTCCCCTTTTATTTGGCCTCCCATCCACCATATGATTTTCTTCAACTCTTTGGTAAAACTCCTACAAAAGCTTCAATGGAAGGAATTTTAACTCTTTCTCTTTCATACCTGTAGCTGTTAAAGATAGGAAAACAAACTTCAAGGACTCATTACTATGAAGTTCAATTATTATTACTTTATAAGTACTTTGTACTTACAAATAAAGGTGGGAGAGAAATCAAATAAATAATTCTACGAGAAGGAAAAATGTTTTTTTAAAAATGTGAGGTGGTGTTATATTTATAATAATCATTTTATAGAGATGTTAGAGAAAAAAGTACTTTGCTGTCAACTTTTCCTGTAAACCAAATTGATTTAGATCTACATCTGCATTCGATACATGTGGAACAAGTATATTTTTTAATTAAGAGGGTGCCAGAAAACTAAGGGAAAAAACTCATCAATGAGAATTACAATAATTCCTTCCTCAATTAAATTTGATATTCTATGAGAAATGTATGAGTGTTTACAGAATTATGTGGGAAAACTGATCTTTTTAAAAGGTGAGATATAGACCACCAGCCTTCCTCAATCTGGGACAAATATTCCACCCTTTTACTTGAAGCAATGGAGACTATAAGCTTGGCTACTTGTTTCTCAGCCTATCTTATTTTATAATCCCATAACCACTGCCTGAGGTACTAGTGGGTAAATATGAGAAATAAAAATGCATACACATACTTGGATGAAAGATCCCAAGTAGCAAGCTACAGTCAATAACCCAATGTTAAACTATTTAGTTTAGCAGCAACTAAAATATTGATTCAGCTAAGCCTCATAGATATAAAGAGACATTCTTGTAAGACATATAGGATAACAAGAATAGCATAGCTGAACTTTACATTCTCAACAAGAGCTGTATTCTAGTGATCCCTATTGCCTCAGGAAACAACTATTTTATTTTTTTCATTGGTTTGATGTCAGCATGTTATTAAGGAAGCTTTCCCCAAAATTTATCTACTCCCACACTATACAGAAAGGATGCTGCTGTTAGATATAATGCCTGGGTAGCTTGGATAGGGGAGGTTTGACTTCAATTTGACCTCATAGGTGAGAAATTAGCCTGTATAATCTCCCAATTTTGTATTTCATTAACAAGTGCTGATAGTCTTTGTTGGGAGGAAGGGAAGTTCCTAATGCTTTGTAGATCTGTACTCCCCTTTTGACTTTGGTTTACAAAAGGTCAGATGAGTCCCTTCTGGGGAAAATCTTTTAGTGTGCATTTTCAACAATAGGAAACCGCACCAGCAACAGCTGCTCTAGCTGGGTGGCATCAGTGGTCCTCCCTCTGCAGCCAAAGAGCACAAAGAAAATTACAAGGTCAGCTGATGGAGGACCTTGGGGGGGGGGGACAGGACAGTGGGTATTCCTTTCTAGCACCGGGGAAGGAAGGTGGCAGGGAAGGATGTTGTGTATGACAACCACGTACCCTGTAAGCTTTGGTACATGCTCCAGTAAATACGCAGACAGTTTTTCTCCTTTTTCATGCCTCTTTTGCAGCGGCAATTATAGAGGGATTTCTGCTTGAGAGCTTCCATGGCGCTTTTGCACTCGTCCTTTGCCTCCAGGCCTGCTGCCCGGCTGAAGTTGCTCTCTTTGCCAGCTACACACTGCCTCAGTGTCCTGTATTTAGTGCTGCAGCTCTGCTCCCTGAGACACTGGTCGCTGGCTTTCACACAATCCAGATGGTCTCCTCCAAGCAGCCCACTCACTTCAGCTGAGAAGAGTACTTCTGCGTTCAAAGAGAGCAAAAGAGAACCTGTCAACCCTGAGAGGTCAGTCCAAGAGAACATGCACAAAACTACAATAATTGCAGGGGTTCAATGGGGGAGAGGCACAGGATAGCAAAGACACCAAAGACAACTTTGAAAATGGAAGGCTAAGGTCTCTCCCTCTTCAGGAATTTCTTTAAAATTGAATGTTTTTAAAAAGTCATTGCCCAATTGATGCACCAGTTGTGTAAGATAAAGTCAGCTGACCCATTACCCCCATTTTACAGGTTTTTTTTCCCCCAAGTTTCATTTTCTTTAGAAAACCCATATTTATGGAGGTTAGCTTTCAAAGTACAGAAACTTCCCCTCTAACAACAGCATTAGGAAGTTAAATGCTCATTTGCACAAAGGCAGTGTTGTGATTTTAACTTCAGTCAGGAAAAAGATCAAAGGAGAGCAGTATTCTTAAATATCCAGGAATCTTTCAAACTTCAGCTTCTTTTTTTTTTTTAAAAGCTAGGTTTCTGATTTCTTCCACTGGAAAGATTTAAAAAGAATCAGATTTTCAAAGTCCTCTTCCCCAGAGTTCTTGATATGACCAATATAGTCATCTTTTAGTTCTTTATTTCCTTTCCAATAAAAAAAACAAACTGGCATGTATGCACTCAAACCCACCCCACACCTATTTGCAAGCCACAGTGGACTGGAGATACAAGTCTTTTTACTGCCACAGGCAGGATGCAACTATACATCTTATAATGAAATCCCCACTTTCTTCTAATAAAGATGAATTTACTTGGAAAGTTTTACTTCCAACTTACTTCTAGTTTAAAATCAAAAGGCAGCATCTTTTGCCAACAGCACCACCCTGTGTAAGTTCTACTCAGAAGTAAGCCCAACTAAATTCCCAATGAGACCCACAGCCAAGTAAGCATGCACTGAACTACAGCGTAAAATCCCTTCTCCGTGTTGCAAACATTGGTCTCAAATCGATAGAGAACAGTGTCTTTCCAAGACAATCGGCAATCAGCTCCTGCTTGGAACTCACGAAGCCAAGGAAGGATTGCACAGAGCCACATATCCAAGATTTAACGCACCGGGCACTTACCCATTAAGGGCAACACGAAGTAGAAGGTGGCCAGAGGCATCTTGTTCCTCGGCAAATCCTTCTCCTCCCCGATGAACTTGCTTCCGTCGCTCCAGAAGGCGATCTCAGCACCCCGATATTCCAAACCAGCGAGGTTCCAAAGCCACCAAGTTCATATCCATTGAATTTACAAAAGGGGGGGGGGGGAGAAAGAAAGAAAGAAAGAAATCCCCACCCTACCCTCCTCTCTCTTCCGTCCTCCGGGAGCAAAAAGCAAGGAGCAGCTGCTCTGCAAAAGGAGGGGGGAGGCGAGGCGAAAGGCGAAGATTTCTCACCCGGTGGAGCTTACATCCCAGGATCCCGGAAAACAGAAGGGTCGATTTCTCAAGAAAAAGCGAGAGAGAACGAGAGTGAGCCCTTCACACGTGAGCGCAATTCGGAGCCAGCCCTTCTTTTTTTTTTTTTCGAGGGAGGGGGGCGGCAATGTCTCCCCCAGCGGGAACTCCAAGAAAGCGGAGGAGGAGGAGGAGGGAAGAAAAAAAAAAAAAAGGAACAGCGATCCAGACGTCGGCTTCCCAGTCCCGCTGCCGTCCGACAATCCGCCGCCGGTCTCTCCTTTACAGCCGCCTCCAAGTCAACACAACCTCTGCGGGCGACTCCGGGTT